AAGTCAGAATTCTGAGATTAAAGTCAGAATTCTGAGAAAAAGTCAGAATTCTAAGATTAAAGTCAGAATTCTGAGAAAAAAGTCAGAATTCTGACTTTTTTCCCATACTAAACTGAAATAAAATTTAAAAATCAGTTAACTTTTTTTTTTTTTTTCTTCAGTGGCCCTAATCCACTTCCGTATTGTTAGGTTTATTCAATGATGATTATAAAATTAATGTCTGTGTGTGCTTATAAAACATTCGTGCAAGGGGATGCTCCACTCCTGTCTCATGATTCAGTCAGGAGACCATCCTGCCTTGTCATTCTAGTGCAGCATCCTGTCTTTATGAACCGATCAATTGTTCTGTCAGAACAATACTCTGTTTGTAACCATGTGTCATGTTCTGTTAATAAACGCTCTGCAGAGGAGGTCCAGTGTGAGACAGTGTGTTTGAGTCTGGGGGTAAACTGTCTCTCCTTCTGCAGAAGCCGTATGAAAAATCCATTACTGTGTATTTCAGTTCTTCTTTTGCAAACCTACATTTATGAACCCAACAGCCATTTTGAGTGCATCTTTCCTGCTCATTTGAATGTGAACGTCACGCATCTTAAAACTAATCGATCTCATTCCCTAGACATCGATTTTGCAAAAATGTAAAGGAATCGATTAAATTGATTTTTTTAACCAGTCCTAGTAGCTTCATCTGGTGTTCCTGCTTGGCTGTGACATCATCCTGGAGATAAAATAAATTGAATTGTCATCAAAGTGGGAATGATAGCATGCAGGTTTCCAAATAATTTCTAACTTAAAATTAAATAGTGAAAAGGTTCACAAGATAAAACATTGCAGGCAGTCGGTCTTTGTATTAAAAATGGACACCAGAGACCAGACAGTTGTTTGTATTTAAAACTTAAAAGAAATACAGAACTCCACTCCAGACTACAGGCCTCACTTTACTATGTAAAGTATTCAAATTTATAATAACAGCACCAAAGCCTGAACAGGTTTAACAGGTAAAGTATATTTAGCAGCTGTGAAGGAGAACACACCTTCTCTGTAAACAGAATCTGGGAGCATGACTTGCAAGTCATGAATAAACAGGCAGGTTTGTCCTTTGGACAAATTGAATCACAGACATGTTAAAAAATCTGGAGGAACATGGTCAATGGTAGCAAAACGTCTGGATGCCACCTTAGGTAAACATCTAAGAACTCACAACAACATCATAGAGAAAGAGAGGAGCGAAACGATGAAAACAACCATAAGGTTTTACATTAAACACCTCCTGAAGTTAATGTGGTTCCACCCGCCATCCACTCCCAAAGCAAATTTCATTTTGCAGACGAACTTCCTTCCTCATATCTGAGAAAATCGAGCCGTATGACTTTTCCTGGGGCCAACCTCTGATTCTATCCACTTTTTCGCAGCCATGAGCAATTTTCTCTCCTTCTTCACCTCCCTCCCCATCTTCGCAGTCTGACTAATTATAATCATTAACCTAAATAGCTCTTCTAATGCTGAAGAACTGATACGTCAGTTAAATCTGTCCGACATGTCTGTACAGACTCCTCCTTGCAGTGTGAAAAGTATTAATGTCATATACCACATGCGCAAAGAGATATTTTCAAATCTTGTGAAATTTTTGATCAAGTACAGTCTGTGCAGCAGCCTGTTCTTACCATAAAATACATTCCATTGAGCAGAGAACATTTGAGTAAGGAAAAATCATTTTTTAGATTTATTTAGAGTTCAAAAATTTTTGCTTTAATGAAGTCTACCTGCTCCCAAAGTAAAAACTTACCAGTATAGCTGCTGAGCAATCCGGATGTTCTTCAGGGATCTCTCCAACAGCAGCATCACCAGAGGTCCATCAAGTTTCCATTCACTCTTCAGAGCCTGCAGGAAAGAAATTAAGAAATGGTCGTATTGAGTCACCAAATCAATGCATTTAAATGTTCTTAAAGTTGCATGACTGCATGTGCATCAAGTTTGGTGTGGAGAAACCTGAGTGGCCTGCACAGTGTGCTTGCCTCAGCCTTATGGAAAACATTCATGATGCTGGAAGAGGGCTGAATTCTTATTTTCTTATCTAAATATAAACACCTTTCATGCTTTCTTTTACATACCTGGACAAGCTGGGGCAAAAACATCTCGAACTCTCCGTCTGGAATCTCTCCAAAATAGTTAACTGCAGCTTTTCTGACTGTCTCATCTGGAAAACTGCAAGAGAGGTTTTAAGAAAGCAAAAATAAATACATAACAAAACAGAAACAACAGGTGTGTTTGCCAAGAGAAATATTAAAAGAGCTGCTCGATTAGTACATGCCAGAAATGCATGAGATTCAGACGACAGCCCTGAAAAACTAAATGCTACAACAACTGCAAACCAGAAAAGCAACTAGTTTCTACGGAACACACAGCTGAAACCAAACACACTTAAAAAAAACACCTGTAATCAAACTAAACTTTTCAATTTTGAAGTTACTGATTTCCATTAGGTTAATGGCAAGATGTATGGAGATATTTTTCTTGTTACTCAGAGTACACTATGGCGTTTTAATACCGCATGTAGCAACCATCTAATCGTTTCCGATTAGGGGTGTAAATCACATCCATCATGG